TTACTGTGGGAACAGCTTTATTTCATTAGCTACATTTGTCCTGGGATTTGTTGATTAGTTCCAGTGGAGACAAATAGATTAGTTAGCCTTAGCTCTTACACAGATGCTCCCCATCGCCCACCCCCCATGAAAAATTCAGTCTGTATCCAGTCGAAATTGTTCAGAAAAGTACTGTAAAGCCATAAGAGTTAACAGTAGGCCTGAACTAAGGAACGGCAATAGAAATGTTGTCTACTTTTATTCCTCAGCGGAAGTATTACAATCGGTTGTTGGTTACACAGAGTTTGTTTACGATAAGTCAGCTCGATTGCAAATGTCAGCTAATATTTGTGCTTCCAGCTGAGAAAACTGTATGTAAATTAATATACTTTTAGAGATAAGCTTTTGTGCTTAAACATGACCAGTAAAGGTGAAAATGTTTAACATGAAGTTTGAAGGCAAATGCAAATATTTAGTCCTTTTAAACTTGCGAGTCTATGGAAACTGCACCGTCACGCAACGTATCAAGAAATCATGGTTTCTCAGTCGAGAGGACCTCAACTTGCTAGCCATAAATACACAGGAAAATACTGGGCTTTGTCATTATTTTATATCTGTCCGTAAAACTTCGAGTGTTGATATAAATATGCTGATTTTAGCAATAGACGGGAGTTGAAAGTAATGAAATCAATCAAGTGTAAATTTTATTCCGACAGTTGCAGACTGCGCGTCGCGACATGCACAATGTTTTACTCGAATTCATTTTCCACAGAAATTGTCGGGATTTTCAGCTGATCAAAGGAATTTCAATGTGACATAATTTAAATATGTACTCGCAGAAAGTTCTGTCCGAGAACTGGAACTTTGTATGATTGTTGTATGATTGATTGATTGTTCCTTATTCATCCAAGAATTTCGTGCATACACAGAAAGCGAATGTTTACCCACCTTATAATAAATGGTGCGTCAAAAATAAATACGGCAGCGAGTGTCTGAGAAACACTAAGACCTGAGGTCTAAGATTCCCTCCGAATCTCAAAAAAAAGTCTCAAATTTGCCAAAAAACAACACGCGGTAAGAGTAATCACATGTCTAATGGCCGCCGCTCAAAAACACTCAACCTTTTGCTAGTGGAACCCAGTCTACATGCCAAGTAGAAACCACGTGACAAATGCTTTACTCTCGTGGACAAATAAACAAATAAATAAATAAATATTGCTGGCGTTGACAAAGTGTGGGAAATCCCACACACAAAAAAAGTCTACATGTACGAGTAAATAAAGTTATTGTTGTTGTTGGTATACGTGCCGACACCTCTATTAGTGCGTTGAGGAACACTGAGGATCGTCTTCAATTGGAAATCACATTAAAGAGCAACATGGAACAGTCTCAAGTGACATATATCGAGATTTTAAGATCTTGTTGCCAAAGTAAATTTGACTGCCTGATCTACGAAATGCTCTTTATAAAGGAGCTTAAGCCAACTTTGAACAAACAGTCAGATTCAATCCGTGCAAAGATATTTATATAGTTTTTTTTATAGTACTTTATTAATTTATCACTTACATTTTAGTGTTTGTATTTACATATTTTATTGTCGGACATTCTCACGCCCTAATTTGTACTTATATATGCATATTTCATTCGCTTTTTGTACAACTTGAAAATGATCTGAGAGAGATCGAAACGTCGTTTTTTATTGCTAGTTTTTATTCTGAAATGTGTTTCAAAAAAACGACTTACAAGAATGTAAAGATTGTGAGTAATTCAAAGAAATACCTTCTCAAATGAATATTGCTCCTGTAGTAATGTTGGTAGCTTCTCCAGAAGCCCACAGAAAAATGGTGCCTCCTTTAAACCCATAACTCCATGCTGCTTTAGTTTTCCGGATGCCCAGGCCACCAAGCGGTTTTTATCAAACACTTGCTCGTTAAACTGCACCAAGACTATGTCCTGGTAACGGAAGATGAAAAAGTGCAGTAAGTGCCAAAGACCTTACCTCTTACCTCAAACAAATTGGAACAATGATTTTGAATTTTGATTGATATAAGAAGTATGGATGGGAATAGCGGCAGTGTCATGGACACTAGAAGTTAGAGGCAATGTTTCATACTTATACAATATTAAACTGGAAGGATAACAATTATTGCTGTGGGCCAAAACTTTGAGAATGTGTTTAAGTTCTTTGTGCCACCCCACCTTAGTCAAATGGGATCTTGCCTTGTTCCAATAAAGTGCATTAACCACTGAGTATTTGTGTCGTATCAAATGATGACATCGACCAAATCGAGGTAATCATCAGTGTAAATTGGTTTTCTGTACATGTGTGTGGACTGAATTACGATCATTGTGTAAACTGCTCACAATATAACAAAACAATACCATACATTATCCCCTTTAAAGGCAGCTGTGACGCCTTGCGCACACGTCCATGCAAGGGACAGCAGTTGACTGTCTCTCTGGTATGTTTGTGCCACCAGACCATCCTGAAGATAAAATGAAAAAATATAGATAGTAAACTTCTACTCAGCGCAACTGAGTAGAATTACTTCCTTAAAAGCTGGAGTAACACTCACAGATCCCCTCTCCCCCAAGAAAAGGTCAATATAGTATCTAATAGGTACACGGCTGAAACTAGCTGAACATTTATGGGAAATGTCATTTTGAGCGATCAGTGAACATGTTAATTTAAAACACTAGTTTTAAAACTGATCTTAAAAGGTGTTATGATCTTATAACAACTTTAAAAACTAAATTTTTGGCACACATTCTGTCGCCTTGTGATAATTGTTTACAAGGTTACGTGTAGGACATGTGACTTAACCAATGTCGGAGAAAGTAAGAGATCTTGGAATTTGGAAGGGGTACAGAAAAAACAAGCTGGGCACGAGGTCGAACAAGGAAAGCACAATAAGGCACCACGCCGTAACATCGGATCATGAAAATCACAATTCTACAAAGGAACATAAGCAATAGGCAAGAATGCCTTTTCCTGGAAGCTTTGCATTCCATTAAAGACCATAACTCTATTAACAAACATTTACATTTCGGCATCCCTGGGGACAGCGACAAATAAAAACTGTTTATGCATGCAGTGACACTGTTTCAAGCTAATTCTGATGAAAGGAATAGAAAGTGTGCCGACAATTTAGTTTTTAATATTTTATAAGATCATAAAACCTTTTCAGATCAGTTTCTAAACATAGTTTTTATATTTACTGGGAAGTACATAAATTTGTAACACCACCAAGGTACCAAGTGTTAGGTAACTGAAAAAAAGGAGTATTCATTTGCTTTGTGGTTGAGGCTTCAGGTTGCACTTAATTTGCGAAGAAAACAAAACAACTACTTATTGGAACCAAGCAAAAGCTTTCTCATTGCACAAACCCATTGCTCAACCTTTCGTTGTGAGGCACTGAAATCGAAGAGGCTGTCAACGAAATGCTGCTTGGCATGAAGATAGATAAACATCTTAATTGGAATAGCCATATAGCTTACATGATCACTAAGTTAAATTCTAGGGTCAGTCTTCTTAAAAGAGCCAAAAAGTACCTGAATCTGTCACTTAGATAATTGCTATACAATGCTTTAATTAATGCAATCTTTGAATATTGTTGTTCAGTGTGGGGAAACACTAAGATTGATAATTTAAATAGGCTCCGCAGAATGCAAAAACGTTGTGCCAGGGTAATTTTAGATGCTAGCATCTATGAAAGTTCAGTTGGCCTTTTCAAGAGGTTAGGCTGGATCCCCATTGGTGACATACCGGTAATAGAGTTAAGGAAACTGTGTATTATGCATAATATTATCCATGGGAAGTGTCCTGATTACTTTAACCATTATATTCGTTTTGCCAATAACAGACATCATTACACAACTCGGGCATCAATTAACATGGACTTAACCACTCCTTTTTTTAACACCAAGACCGGCAAATGTTCATTCTTTGCAAGTGGCACTAGCAATCAAGACAGTAACACGAGGGGCTTCATTCCCCTTTGTAAATTTAGAAATCTAATATTCAAGAAATACAAAGATCGGAATTCTAGAATAGACAACTTTATTATTGGTAGACATTTTAATGAATTTTCAATTGTATTTTTTCTTTGTATTTGTCCATTGAATTTGTAATTGTAGTTGTTTAGAAGATTTTAAGGACCATGATGAGAACTACTGGTTTTATCACTAACTGTGTTATCCAATAAAGTCATTATTATTTATTTATTTACTTACTTATTTATTTATTTGTTTATTTATTTATTATTTATTTAATTCGTCACTATTTGAAACATCCTCTCGTGATTCGTAAATGAATTTGTGCATTGGTTACCTGAATGGCCCAGATGTTAAGAATTCCTTTATCACAGCCAGAAGCCAGAAAAGTTCCACTGGAATTGAAGGACAAGGATGAAACCAAACCACTATGGCCATTGGCTTTAAATAGAAGACTAACACATCCGTCGCTAACAGGAAATTGCTTTTCAGATGATTTCAAAACATCATCAAACTTAAAGATAATTTGGACAATGCCTGATTTCTTCCTCCGATCTTTTCCAGTGTCCTCTTCACCTCCCTTTCTTGACAGCCCCAGCAAGTTGGCTGACTCTAAAGCAGCAATTCTTGACTGCAGGGTGGAACCACCACACTGTCTTTCAGAGACAATAAATAATTTGACCATCTTAGAGAGATTTTCTTTGTCCGGTTGCTGAGGAACATACCACACACTTATGCATCCATCTGTGCTTCCACTGTTACATAATAGAGGAGAAATAAGCTTTTCAATAATTACGAGATTATTATTGTTGTGAAAGATGAAAATCTATTGATCCAAAAGAAAAGCCTCTAAGCAGGGTTGATATATGTAATACTGAAGCCATCGCAAAACAAACTACAAATCAAAAGGCTTTTTCATCCAACTCGTGATATTTGAAACAGTGCTTTGGGAGGTTAAAAAGATTCTAAGGAGTTTGTCACAGTTGCGTGACACAGCATAAATTTAACAGCAATCACTGATTTACAGACAATCTTTAAGTTTATTAAGGTGGAACGCTTGAGCTGTTTTGATTGTTACGACCTAAATGAGTTCTGACAAAAACCTGAATGTGTTATGTAGGCAGTACTTTACAGATAAATAACTATAATCAACTTAATTCTTTCACATGCGACCAAATCCACATTTATTGTACGTCTCCTTTCCCTTAGAGTTTCCCTATCGAGTCGAGCGCTATTCCGATATCAATGTCTCTGTCCTTAGGACTCGAGTTATTACAAACATCTTTGTTTCTTTACTGCACTAATAAACGTTGAATCAGGGGATAGAAATAATTACTCACACGAAAGCGAATCCTGGTGTGGGCAGCGTTTTTTTTCTCTGAGCTACTAAGGGATGATTTGCACTTATAAAGGAAACAAAATGTTCAAGAAATAAAAGTAAAGTAATTATATAAAACAAATGAGAAGATATGGAAATTTGAAATAATTCTTTGCGGAAGAAAAACACTTCTCAAGTGAAACCCTCGCACGTGATTTTTGGCAAGGTTTCGGTAAAAGCTGCCGTCAAAGCTGTTGATGGGTCGAATTAAACAAACACCTTTGTTGCATACCAGATAATCTTTAATTTGGAGACCCTTGTTAGACTCCAAACGCGAAAAATCATTTTACCGCTTTGGTGGCCATTCTGTTCGCAATGGTCGGTTCTCTCGGAAATACCCTGGTTGCGGAATTACCACCAAAAAATTTTTTACGACCTATCAACTGACTGACTAAGCGAGCGAGTGAATTATTTCTTCCCCAACTAATTGCTATAACTCATTCTAGCTATGCTACTCTAGCTAACACTCGTAAAAAAGGTCCAAGATTGAACCCCACGTACATAAAGTGCTGTACAATGATCCAATCCAGTCAGGCACTTACATGGCAAGGTACGATGAAGTGTTTGTTGCATTAGAATTGCTGAACCACTTGAAGCACGATATTACAGAGCTGTCAAGTTCCACAGAATGCCTGAGTAGAATACCTTCTTCAACTTCATACCATATCTGTAAATGACAAAAGATAAATAAACTTACGACAACTTAACTTAACTTAACTAAACTTAACATAACGTAACGTAACATAATGTAACACAACGTACCATTCAACGTTTACATAGATGGCTGATAACAGTTTCCAGCACTTTCCACCAGACAGATCCACAGATGTTATAATATTGGTTTCACGCAGGTGCCTAATCATTTGTGAACAAGTTATGGTAATTTTCATGCCATAATAAATTACCATAGCAACGATTTAACCAATTACGAAAACCCTAATCTTAGCTTTAAGTACTTATGATTCAAAAACGGCTCTAAAATTAATTGCCTCATTGCTATGGTAACTTATAATGCTGTGAAGATTATCACAACTTGTTCACCAGTGATTGGGAATTTGTGTACTGGTAATACCAATACTGTAACATCAAAACTGATAATTATAAAAACTGAAAAGAATTTATTAATGAATGTCGGTTAAAACACCACAACAGTCATGCTATGCTACTCTGTTTGTTGAAAATTAATAAAATCAAGTCTTGTAACGTGACACATTCATATAACACAAAGACCACAAACTTTCAACAATAAACAGTGCACTGTTGACTGTTTAAAAAGTGAAAAGACAATATATCTTTTATATTCCCATATTGTGATCTCAAGAAGTTTCCATCAAGCAAATAAAAGCATCTCCGTCATATACTCTTAAATTAATTACTCAGTTAACATCTTAATCTTGTTTTCTACAGATACTTTACCTTAACACATTCATTTTCAGCACAGGAAGCAAATGCCTCTCCTTTAGAATCAAACTGAAGTCCAATGATCAAACTCTAGACACCAGGACACATACACATGTACAGAGTGAAAACCTGTCACAGTATACAGTAACTATGACAGAAAATATACCATGCCATAGAAAATAAAGCCAATCAGAATACAGGAAAGCTGTTTTTTATTATCACACTCAACCTTCCCATCATGCACTGTATTGATTGTGTGGGACACTGTCGTTCCTACGACATTGAGAGAGTATTCCATGGTTTCTTTCAAATAAATCTATTTATTACAACACATTACAAAAAAGATGGACTTATTCCATGGACGACGGTATACCACTCGAGAGGCATTGCATAACTAGGATATATCCTTTATTTGAGGTTTAGTAATCAAAATGGCCACAAATAGGGTTTTTCAACAGAGCGATTTTTTCATGTCCCTCTTCTCTAATACCACAAGAGAACAAGCATACACACTTAAGCTTTTATCTTTGTTTTGTAGCATCTATTTCAAGCCATCCATAAGCATATATGGCCACCGTGAACCTTGCAGTCTTTTTTGACTGCATTTCCCAGCTAAATAAGCTTCGTTTCCTGAAGTCGTTGCTCAATGCCCTACAGGCGACAACCATTTTTAGCTGATTGCGAGTGGACAGAATTTCAAAAGATGTGTAACGTAAAAAAAATGATACTTAGTTTGAAAATGCACAACGATTTGATATTCTCAAACTCATTAACAATTCATCAAGTTAAAACAAAGAAAATCACAACCGTGAGGGAGGTTTGGATACCCGGTCTTAATAGGTATAGATTTTGATGCTTTTACTTTTCTGCTTACTCCTTAGTTTTTGTCTTGATTGAGAAGATATATCAAACACTCGAGACATTGTTTTATCAGCTATCCAAACACCTTGAATTTTTTCAAAAATACTCTGCTGCACATCCTATTTTCAACTCCCTTCTCGGTGTTTGGACATCGCGATGAAACAGTGTCTCTTGTTTATGATATATTTCGAGTCGTATGGATTATGCGCTGCAATTGTACGGCAAAAACGGAAATTCATGGGAGGTGGGAGGTCTCATGTGGAGTACTCCCTTCAAAATTGCGTGAAATATTGACAAAAAATAGCCCTTCTCATGCAACATTTCCACGAAAATTCGAAAACACATCAATTTTGTAGAAATTTGTTTGCAATACCTTTGCACAATACTGTACCAGGGATCCATATTGGCTTTTTCTCTAAGTTGTCAGCTGGGTAAGTATACCAGATGACAGACTTGCCCTGGCAAAATTTTACTTGCCCGTTCACTAGAGAATAATGGTATTGGACCAGCATGTAACTGAAAGTTTACTTTTCTATTATTTTCACGCGACCAGTCTTCAACTGCCAGTACATGTCAGAGATCATGTCCGTAGTTGCGGCTGTCAGCGGACACAGAAAATCCAGGTACAAATGAAAATCAGCCTCTTCACTGCCATGAAGGTTTAAAGGGAGGCTTTCGCTCTTCCTGCTCATATTTGGCTTGTTTTTCTGAAGAGGTAACGTCACTAAATGCCATATCCTGATTAAAACAGCTGATGCCATCGCGCCATGTGTTTTCAAGGATGCAGATGCAGTACAGAGCATCAGCGGTTGGCAAAATGAAAACTCAGCCTGCATTGATTTCATTCATGGAGAATATCACATTACCAAAAATTAATGATAATTTTATTGTGAACGAAAGCTGCAAATCATTCTCTGTTTCCTAAAAGTTCCAAATGGATAACAAGTAGTCAGAATGCTGAGAACTCATATGAAAATTTAGGAAATGTTTTTATTTTTCTGGTAGAGTAAAACTAAACTCGTCCAGCGGACAAGTTTTCATATTGTTTTGGTCGTCCTTATGATGATTTTATTGCCAACGAAAGCTGCAAATCATTCTCTGTTTTCTAAAAGTTCCAAATGGATGACACATGGTCAGAATGATGAGAACTCATAAGAAAATTTAGGAAATGTTTTTATTTTTCTGGTAGAGTAAAACTTAAGTCGTCCAGCGGACGAGTTTTCGTATTGTTTTGGTTGTCCTTATGATTTTTAGTTGTCACGGACGATCGAAAGACTGCGAACATGGATCCCTGCTGTGTGAACATTTTTAAATGCGAATACTGTTGAATGTGCTTACCTTATGAGCTTCTATGATCTTAACTTGGTCATTAGGGTCTTTCGTTGCTAAGCAGATAACACCATCTATAAATCCAGCCACAAAACAGTTGCTGTTATCGTACCATGCAGCCTTGCAGACTGGAACTAAAAAATCATACACATACAAAGGTAAGTGTTTGCCACAATGCTAAAAGCTTAAAACCCAAAGGTGGACCTGTTCATTTAATATGTTTCCAGTATGTTATAACAGATTATTACTGAACAGATACCCTAACAATATGGACAATTGAAGATTCAACAGTGTAGTGCTGGAAAACAACCTAAGTTACAACAATGACACAGCTAGGTTTTCTCACTACTTGAGATGTTGATATTTCACCATTTTACTTTTGTGTAATCCTCTGTAGGAAAAAGATGGCGGCTGTACATTTTACCACAACACCATGCGAGCTTAATACAGCCCGAAAAGTACGAGGAAAGCCATATTTTTGCAGCACATATCCACGTTCTATCGACATTGTGTATGCTGGGTTTGAAGATTTTAGAACGTTCCTGTATGTTTTTATGAGCGTTGTTTAAGTTTCCTTGTGCTAAGAATTATGGGTAAATGTACCAATCGCCATCTTTTTTTCCTACAGCGGATTGAGTAAGCGGTTATAGATCGTTTTCACGTGACGTCATCAAATTCCAAAATCCAAAACTAAAGAGCCACGAAAATTTTTATCTTCAGAAGGCATAAGGGGATCTAAACTTATATCTGTTTACAACTTTTCANGATCGTTTTCACGTGACGTCATCAAATTCCAAAATCCAAAACTAAAGAGCCACGAAAATTTTTATCTTCAGAAGGCATAAGGGGATCTAAACTTATATCTGTTTACAACTTTTCAGCTCAATAGCGTGCTTTGATTGGAAACCAGGGCCGTTTGAAGTTTAGAGTTATGGCGGTGCATGACATACCACTCCGATTGCATTTGTGGAAAAATATGCACTCATCTAGTGATTTTTAGCCTTTTTAGGAGTTAAAGTGTTTGGAAAAGTGCTTGTGTAAATGTTTGTTGGTTCAGTTCAGGTAATCAGTCGCCTAGAAAGCCAAAGTAAGTTCCAGATGTTGGTGGAGCACAGAGCTCCACCAACATGGTGGCTCCATACTGGGCTCTGTAAATTTGCGCAAAACATTTTGACGAATATCTGAAGTTTGGGAAAACGCAGAGACCCAAAACTTGGAGAAGTGTCTTCTTTACCTGTCTCCTACAATATTAAAATTTCTTGACTTTATCCACTGAATAGTTCTGGATTTATTTTTTCGTTGCGTGGCAGTGAAAACCATCTATTGTTCAAAACGCATGATCACTTATTATCTCTTAGGATGTTAGGTATATGTACCTCCTTCTCTTGAACACCACTGTAGCTCAACTCTTGTGAAGGAATTACGATCGTACACCTCAACAACAGCTAGTGAGCCATCAATTCTTCCAACCAGCAGAGAATCCATTATTCCAACTTCACTTTCCAGGAATCCACGGGACACAGGCCATGTTAAACATGTGATGTGATGAGGGTGAATCTCCAGATTACAACGCCCATCTAAAACGAAATGATGTAAAAGGCTTTAACCTTTAAAAGTAGAACGTCATAAAGTAGGAGAAGGATTCTTGCATGTCATTTCAAGTGGTACTATGATCAAATTTTTACCCCTTGATTTTTTAAGTACATCACATAGAATTCCATGAAGGAATAAAAATGCCGTTTACCATTTGCAAATATCTGCATTAGTTCCGGAGATATTTAAGTTTGAAACATGTGTAAAATATGCAAATAAGATGACTGATGATGTCACACACTCAACCCAATATCATATCAAGTATAAAAATAGAGCTATCTTGGCCAATTTGCAATGCAGACCATTGAAACTTGGTAGGCTAATAGTTCTACAGAAAACACTCCTACGACTATAAAAAAATTCTGTTCTCATGGCAGCTCACTCTTTTCCAGTTCCCACCCACTTGATTTCAATATGTTAGTAGTTATTTTCAGCTCGAAAAACAGGCCATGAACTCGAGCTAACATATTTATATGCTTGCTGGATCGTGCGTATGAGGCACCATTTGCAAATACAAAAATGGAATGCCAAAGGTGGCCAGAAATGCCTTTAATATTGAGGAGGTCTGGAACCCAGTATCTTGCCATGGTAACAAAACTGTTATGCTCGAATTGCGTAGCAAATTTAGTAGAATCNTATCTCAGGAACGAAAAGAGATATTTGAAAATAGTAAACAGCATTTTTCTTCTCATGCAGGCTACTTGTTCATGTTTTAAAATGGCTTCGTTAGGAACGATGCATTTTTCATCATAGTACCACTTTAACAGTTAATGTTAAAAAAGGAAAACAATGTGAAATGTGAACTAACCCAATAGTGGTGCACACAAACAACAAATCTTCTACATGATTTAGCAAAAGTAAACTTTCAAACAAACCTATCACGGTCCAAATATTTAACAGGTTGTTAATTGCTCCAGCAAGAAGTTTGCCATTGGCCTAGAAAGTCACAGAGAGTATATTGGTTTAGCACATTGTTGGAAATAATATTATTTCATCTTCAACTTGACTGAAAGCTAGTCAAAAACTCAGCCTTAGAATAGAATTCACTAAACAGTCTTCAGTTCACTACAGCTTGTGTTTTTTATATACTTTTATCCAGAGAACATTTTTATATTTTACCATGATTCATCCTGGATACGACCATTCGATATTTGCAAAAGGTAATATGTTTTGATGAAGGATAATTGTAGAGGGGGAATTAGTGGAAGGGGTGCTGGTGGAGCACAGTTGTGTTGACGGGCTGGAGTGGCACTATGCTACTAGGGTGGAAAAAATCAAAAATCATTCAAAACTCATAGAATTTCTTACATTCCAGCAAACATGACCCATTTCTTCACCAGTATTGTCCCTGAATTGCTCATCATCACTTTTGTGGTGTGAAGAAAGGAAAACACATGTCTGTTGTAAAATGTTATGTGTCTTGGATGACATGTTCCAAATGTGGATGACTTCATCAAGTCCACTGTTGAAATCAAATTGAACAGACAAGCATGAAGACAGTCAACATAATACACAACACCAGGACGAGTCTTCAAGTGTTACATACAAAAATTAAGAAAAATTAATGCTTAGGAGGTCCTAGACACAAGCTTAACAAGGGACTTAAAATTTCTTTGAAATTGTCCCATAATTGTCCAAATGATTCTGTACGAAGCCATACAAAGGATTCCTTAATGAAACTTGACAAAAAGATCTAAGCACTGAAAGATTTCTCCTTCAGCTGATCTCTTGGATGCATCACCTTAACTACAGTACCTACTAAATACAAAGGTTTTTTAGCGCCAGATTAGAACCACGCATTTTTTCGAGATATTTAGCCTAGAATCTCAACAAAAATGCTGACATCAGTATTTTTTTGAAAAAAGAAAGAAAGGATATTTCTTCAGAGATTTCCTCAGAATTCCCCTTTACATATGGAAAAGCAAACACATACTACATGGTAAATAGTAACATAAAAACCATTTTTGGTATGTTTTTAATAACAAAATCATTGCAACAACGCTTTTAGCTTCCTTAACAGCCTTCCTTTTGTTCAGCTAAATACAGTCTAAATAGCTTTTCCTCACAACTAGAAACTAATCACATGTTGAATAGGCTTGCAACTTCCATTTCATAACATAAAATGTAGGGGTAACCACACATTTTTTAAGGTTTATCATCTTTTTTGGAGACTTTTATGGTGTCTGTTATATTTTTTCCTGTCACCTCCCCAGTAAGTAAAACATTTGCGTATCACACCCTTGTTTTGCGCGCCCACTACGCCATCTGCAGTTACATGTTTACAGTTGGATTTCAGTATGATGTTTGACAGAGAACAGCTAGTTTTTCAGCTGTAAGACGTTAACAGTTAGTGATTAGAGATATGTTGCTATTCTGGAGTTCCTGGTTTAAGTACAGGTTCGTTAAGCTTGATTTGGTAACAAATCAAGTACGAAAATCAAAAAAATCAAGTTGGAAAATTTTGCTTTCACTTTAGTTGTGTACTTTGTGGCGTATTTAATTTTAAACCACACCTTGCGTAATGCAACGCGTGATGCGCAGAACGTGAGGGCACTAACAAAAGTAGGCACCATCCCTAAGCATGTCAACTGTAATGTCTGGCACTTTTTCAATGCTCATTGAATAGGCTCATCCAAGATATTTCTGATGAAAACCTGGAAAAGATCTGGTGTGTTTATTTCATTGAGAAAGCCCTAGATGGAATAGGCAGGGTTGCCAAAGTGTTTAAGTTGCTTTATGCTTGGTGTAGGTGTTGATTTTACCATACCTTTCAAAACAATTAGTAAATTTCCCAGTAGAGTCCTTTGTCAAGATCAAGAAGTACATTATTGTACAGTAGATAGTGATTTTCACAAGCAGCAAGCTACTTTTGATATCCCTGTAGAGGGCACGATTATTTTCTTGGGTTTTTGTTATCCGATCTGCTGTTTTCTGTTGTGAATTCTTGGTGGCTTCTGCCCACCTTCATCAGTGTTATTTAAGTTTGTTATTACTCGCACTACAAGCCCATGTGCTGTTGTTTTATTGATTTTTTAAATCAACGATAAGTAAGCGTGAGGGAGTGGTTTCCTTATGTTGACAGCGGTGCTGTCCAAAGTTGAGTGCCATGACTCCACGAAAAGCCGCGTTTGAGGATCTGGGCATCTCTTGGGTGGATGTTGTGATACGTGGACTCAGCATGCTGTTTAATTGCTGATTCATTGCTGCTTGCGCGGCCTGGATCATGCTCAGGCCCATGAAAGCTCCACGAGCATTCACTTTCCCTGACATAGGTGAATATACAGTCACGGCAGCTCACTTTGTAGACAATCCCAACTATTCTTTACTCTCTTCCCACAAATAGGGCAGCAACAGTTTCCAAGCCCTTAATTAAATGTCTCAGGTGTATTTTTGTAAAGCTCCCCAAGCAACCCTTAACAAAGAGGTAAGTAGAAGTAAGAATGTGCCAGCCAGGCGTGTTGTGCCTTTCATCATGCTCTGAGTATATTTCAGTGTACACAATGTTTAACAGGTATTCTATATAAATATATGGGTGTGGTAATTGCTGTTCTTGCATCATCTTTCAATAATATGTGTACCCAAAGGAAGCCTGAAATATATCACGGTTTAGCTACATGAATGAAAAATGATTGACGTACATGATCTTTCATGCAAAGGAAGTTGACCTGAAGCAAGTGAATTAGTATGTACTCTAGCCTTACATGTATCTGGTGCACAGCGCAGAGAGACTCACTGCGGTAGGGACGGGCTCCATGGGCCACGCAGTTGGGTCTAGAGTAAGGCGGTGGGCCAGAACCCCATTGTCTACATAACTATTATTTTACAACATCAACCGAACAATGTTAATCCATAAAAGGCAAAACAAAAATAAATAAATAAATAAAAAAATAAAAATTAAAGAACCAACTTGTTGCCAAGTTAATTTCTCCAAAAACCAAACCATATCAAAATGTCACTGTCATTTCCTAAATTATTCACTTCTGTTCAAGCTATGCTTCATTGAGGCATGAACTAATCTAATGTTGAATTCAATGACTTTGGATTCTCTTCTTTCATTTCACTGGAAGGTTCTAGCAGCAAGCCTGTAAAGCCTGAGCATTGCTATTTTGTAGCTTATAATTGGAGGGGTGAGTGTAAAACCGTGCTAAGTGACGATTTGGGTGAAAAAAAAAATTTTTGCAAAAGGGCTTGAATTTTGCATGTGGTCTTCAATGTAATAGAAAAACGTGGCCCTGTATTTTTGTCGCTGGTTTTTGCTTTGTTTTCAAGTTATAACATATGCAAAAATACTTGGCTTTCCCTAGTCATGTCTTTAGGAGTTTATTTGTTGAATAGCAAACAGGCAGACTGTTTATAGTGTATGACATCAAAATCAAATCTCACAGCATATATAGAGCAGAAATCTGGGAACAGATTGTTTACATTGGTTCTTGTGACGTGAACACAACACGTGAATCGATCGAGTGTGAAACCAAATACATTGAACAAAAAAGAGATGTGCCGCATTAGAGCTCTGTCAAGTAATATCTTAAGCATTGTTTTAAAGTACCTTGTATGCCTGCCTGGTGGTTGAGAGGCATCATAAAGTCTTGATAAACCCGTAAGTCATCAGCACGTTTTAAAGAATCAAAATGTGTTCTGAAACTTCAAAGGCAGCTGATATACCGTAATTGTGTTATTGGTGTTCAAAGTCAAATCGAGTCAGGCAGCAAAGTCCAAGAGCAGTTCTTGCCCAAGAAAAATACCCTCCGCTGAGTCGTGGCCCAATTGCCAAGCGTTGCTAGCGTCAAAGTTTGGAAAGCGAGAACTGGTTTTAGACTTATAAAATTTGTCTTGTATCGACCGCCATGT